CAGGAATGCAGCTACCTGGTGTACATGACTTGAGCTCTGTGACTAACTTTTGTGCTCGCTCTCTACAATCAGTTCTTAGGAACATACTGCCTGTGAGTCTGACTCGCTTGCTACATGTAAATAGTGTGTTGGCATGATTGCTTTGTGAGTAGTGGTATACTCAAGAGAAGATGTGGCTTTCATTCCAGTAAATCCTGCTCCTGCTGTTCATCTTGCTGCCCACCTTTCATGGGTGCTAAGTGTCTTTTAACTGTTCTGGTCTTTGAATAGTGGAAGAACTTTCAGAAGATTGCAACTTTTCTGCCTTTTGTGGCCTGATGCAGTCCATATATCTGATTCTGACAGACGCTACTAGCTGAAAAACTTTTCATCTTGTTTGTTTGGGTTGTTGGGTACTACTAATGTGATTCACATTGACTGTGGTGTTGTAGGATGACCTAGCTATCCCATGAGGAAACAGCTCATTGATATGACTATATCAATGGTTCACTTTCTAGACTGCTGCCACAATTCTAGGAAAAAATAAGTTTTGCAAAGATTTGAAAATCAAGTATGACGCAAGACTTCGAGAACGAGTAAGTGCCAAAGGAGTTTGTTTAAATATTGAACATTGAACAATTTAAAAATGTATCTTACTGCTGATGGATATCTTGGCTTATTGAATGTTAGATTTAACAGTGGAGAGCGCTCTTTGATGTATTTTTAATCACTGAAAACTGAACTTTTCACATCAGGAACTATAAATTGTTTGCAGAACTGCGAAGCAAAGCCAAAATGTAGTGATTAGGGCTATAACTGTGATGCTCTAATGATTTAAGTAAGGTTAAAATTTACATGTAGAGGGAATTATCTTACATGTAATAAAAAGCTTAGCTCCGTTTTCTAGCTCCACATGGAAAGTGTGAAAGATACTCCCTCTGCCTACCTTGTCTAGCCTGATGACACAACTTGATGTTGGCTTTTGAGCTGTTTATGCCTTTTCATTTGCAAAAAGACTACTGGAAAGCTTTCTGCTGTCCATGGAACAATCTGCTTTCCTGATCAATGCCTCTGCCTGGTAACAGGTGTAATTGTACCTCCTGTCTGTTTTTAAGTATGTCTTGTTCAGAATAAACTCAGTTGCTGGCTGTTTCTGCTAACATGGATCACCCTTCAGATGCTGCACTGAGTGTTGTCAGCTGAATTTTTAACAAGGAGATGCTACAAAACCAAAAATGAAATGGCATATTGCCAGCAGGACAATAAGTGTTTAAAGAACAGAACGTGGTTGTAGCATTTCCTATTTGGATCTTCTTTTTCTGTCAGAAATTCCAGTTCTTGCACTGAAATCAGCAAGTTAAATGCTGCCTAATCTTCTTTAGTTGCTTTATCACCTGATGTTTTAAAAATTTTACAGGTCGTGATACAGAATTTTAGCAAGAATAATCTTAAGTCTCTGTTACATTTTATTTTCCTCTCCTTTCATGGTGTTTGTATAGCTGCATAGAAATGGCAGTACAGTGTCTGCAGGCCATAGGATCTGAGTCTTTGCACTGGGTAACTGGAATTAAATTTGAATTGTATGAGAAGAAGCAAAGTCCTTTTAAAAAACGTATGTTATTGACCCTATTAAGAAAGTTTTGTTCTCTCATGCCTTGCTTTCATGAGAGAAATCTGGAAAAATATTTTAGATCAGGTTTTCATTTTCAGCAGCTTCAGAGCACGTATTTCTTCGTGTTTTTCTTTGTGTTTTTGAATTGCTGATATTTTGCTTTGGAGAAGGGAATCGAGAGGCTGAAGTAAATGTGTTTCAGTACATTTAAACTCTGAAGACTCAAATTAATTATTATGACAGTTAAATTGCATATCTGCAGCAAGTGGATAGTGACATATAGTCAAAAAAAGCCTCGGTATTGAGTATGTGTTTGTATCCTAATCATCAGCTTCTGGATGTCTGGAATGTGTGTTACTGAGTGTTTTACATATAGCATCAGCTCTTACTTTCTCAAAATACTCACTGTAACTGCGACATTTTCACTGTCTTCAGATGTTCCAAGGAAAGACCAAAGCTTTCAATTTGAATGCATTTTTAATCTGTTCGTGATAGGGAAGTATTAATCTGTTTTACCTTTGTTAGAGATGTGCATTGGAAAGATCTTCAAGGTAAAATATGGTAATGCACATGCAAGTATACCTGTCTTGTAAAATGTATTACAGACAATAAATATTTTGTTTTATAATGGGTCTTCTAGTGAGCTGGTATGTATGGGTTCTTGCTGCTGTTTCTCATGTGGGCTTTGCAGTTGGAATTTCCAGGAATAAGGATGTCATTTTTAAGATCTTTTTTGCTTTCCTTGTTTTCTGAAAATACTGTCCAAAGAAGTAATGTATGTCCTGAAAAAATGGAGGGAGGCCTTATTGTTTATTTTTAATAGGTAGAATACTGGTGGGGGTTTTGGGTGGTTTGGGTTTTTTTGGTCTTTTTTCAATAATTCTGATTTTTAAATGAACTGCTTCTCTGTTGTGGAGATTTCAGGGGTTTGCAGAGAAAGTATTTATTTCTTACTTGTGAAAAATAATTCCCTGTACTCCTTCTGCAAATGAAAAGTAAATGGAGTTTATCTCCATGTGAAGAGCTCCATACAGAGGCGCTTGCAATGTAACCTCAAAGACACTTGAATTTTGTATCCTGAGTGTCAAGAATGTAGGAAAAAACCACAAAGCAAAGATTAGGGTGAAGGTGATGTTTTGAATGTTAGCATTTTAAATGAGATGCTGCTCTTAATGTATTTCTCTACCGAACATATATATAAATATATATATACACACACACACTTAAATAGCAGATATAAATATACCTCCTCTCCCAATATCGGGATAACATGTAAAAAGTTGTTAAGCCTGTATATTATGCTTGAGAATCCGGAAAAACAAAGCTGTTAAGAGATGCTGGCATTGGAAGCGATACTGGAGACTTGATAGATCTTGCTAAACCTGCTCTTTGTAACTTGCCTATTACAGAAATACGGTGTTGCAGAAGGAAGGCCTTTGACTGACCTCAAGGCTATGGCAAAGGCTGCTGGAGAGCAGTGTCCTTCATTCACACCTTCTGGAGGAGAAACACTGGATGAAGTATGGTATTTATTTATTTGTGCCCTAGTTTCTAGGCCATTTTATCAGTGCAGATGCAGCTATTGCATACTTAGGAACATCTTGGCGAGAGCCTAGCTGAACTGAAGGTAGTTATTTTCTAAGCTAAAAACACTACTTGACCTGGTTGCTGTGGCTGCCAAGTAGGGAATCTCTTTAGAACTAAAATATTGATTCCGAGATGACTCCTCGTGAAGCTCTCCTTTGTAGAAGGATGATGGCAGTTACTCTCAAACTTGGCTTTGAGGGGCAGAGAAGTCTTGACACTATTCAGTAATGTACCATTGATTTCTGAAACTGGTCTGTGATCAGTGTTTCTCTTTTAACTGAAGTAATTACAGCTCAGATTTCTGAAAGCTGAAGTCTCTTGCGTTCTTCACAATATGCTGTTGTGACTTTTCTCTTTAGGTAAGGGAACGCGCAAGAGATTTTTTTGAATTTCTGTGTCAGCTGGCTGTTGAATTGGAGCAGAAAGAACAAGACGCGCATGGTGCGGCAAGCAGAAGCTCAGGAACATCTGAAGAACAGTTTGTGTTCCCTTGGACAAACCACTACAGTGAATCAGAACTTGGCTCTGGTAACGGTGGTGCTTCTAGGATATTAGATGCCAATATATTAGTGGTGAGTCATGGAGCCTACATGAGGAACTGGATTGGTTATTTTGTTTCAGATCTCAACTGTACTTTACCAACAAATTTAACAAAGTCTCAGTTGTCTTCTGTGAGTCCCAATACAGGAGTTAGTCATTTCATTGTAAAACTTGAAAATGGAAATTTGTTAAAACCTGAAATCACATGTGTTTGTCTTAATCAAGACTCTCACTTAGTGGATGTGGGAGCTGAATGTGTAGCTCAAAAGGTGTTTTAAGAGTCTTTGTAGGGATATGAGATTTTAGATCACCATTATACTAAGCTTGGTAAAGGTATCTGTAGTAATTACTGAAACTGGCTGGAGTCACTGACACTAAACTGCAAAATTGAAGACATGCAACTGCTTATCATCCTGAAATAACACATCATTTGCATGGTCCTAGTGCCTGATACAAGTTGGCAGTAGAGAAATAACACAGATGTTCTTTATGAACAGAAGCATACTACTTCCAGTCAATTGCATATCTGCGCCTACAGTGCATAGTTTTTAAAAACTTGTTTTCATTAGCCTGTAATTATTTTAGTTATCTCCAAGTAGAAGAGTTGGGGAGGTGAGAGGTACCATTGTACCTCACAGATGCGCTATACTGTATTCTTGGTTTATTACAAAATGCTATATTGTAATATTAAACATCTATGTTGTTTTAAAATATCTTTTTTGAATGCAATAGTATAACCTAAAAAGGAGCATTGCCTAGCGGAAAAGGTTTGGTACAGAGTCAAGATACGTGTTCCTGGCTCTGATACTATATAGCTGTGAGACTCTGGGCAAATCTCTTTTCCCTATGTAAAATAGGGTTGATGATATACCTACCTCGCAGGAGTGTGTTGTATGGAATTGTTAGTGGTGTTGAGACCTCTGTACGCAAACATAAAATATTTATTTTTAACTGTAAGCGAGGTGTGGAACCTCATGTGCACAAAGTTGAAACAGCGGTCTCCCTTCTGAAAAGGAACCTCATCGATAGGGCAAGTTGTGCCTGACCAGGATCCTGTTGTCAGTTGCAGTTGTATGCTTGCTTGATGGATGAATATTTTGCCTAGAATTAGGCAAGTTTGATTGCTTGATGATTGCTTATCGTTGCTGTTGGTACTGCATTCGTTCCCCACAGGGGTGTTTGTAGTGTTAGTATGTAAGCTTATTTGACTTATTTATAATATCCACAAACTTTTTCTTGAGTTGCATATTTTAAGCCTGTTTAAAAAATAAAATAAATACTAAAGGCTCCTGAATAGAACTCCATTTTGTCTGTATTTCTTTTGAGGTAAAAAGTTTTGTTGATATTAGTCTATGAAGCTTTGCTCAGAGTGTACAACTTCCATTTTTTTTTCTGAAAAACTGTGGAAAAAAGCCTTTTTTCGGGCTGCTGGATCGTGCTATCCTCACTCTTGTGTGCAAGAACCACTGATGTTAAAATGTTAAGGACACTAAAATTGCTTGCAGCTGTACAAAACTGACTGTTTGACTGAAGTTTTAATTTTTTGTAAATTGTCCTGTGTACTTTATATTACTTGGCTTCCTTGTCTTGAAGCAGAGACTTAAACTTTGAGGAGGAAAAAGAGGCTGCTATTGTTTACTTAAACAGGTGGGTACCTATACTTAACCAACCTACTAAATAACAGCAACACATTTATTTGAGCTGACGCTGGTGAGCGTCCTTTGCTTCTTCCATTCCTCCAATACTAGTACTGCTAAAATGTAGAGGAAGAAGTGGGAAGCGTTCAGCCCTGTAGTGACCAGAAGTGGAATTTGGAGCAGCTTACATGATGCACGAAGGTGATTGCTAGTAACTGGTGCCAGCAAAGACTGGTCTTTCAGCTTTTTAAGACATTATATGAGGGATTGGTCACGCTTAAGTTGGTGAATTGAAAATGGAGTTTTACTCTTAACTGCATCAATAGGCTAAACTGGTTACTTACTGATCAGCTGACATCCTTTCATTTCTTTACAGGTAGAGAGGAAAACTGCTTCATTATGGCTCCTCTTTCCCCATATGAGGCAGTTCATAAGAGTACAGATGTATCTGGGCAAAGTTTTATGACTGGGGTTTTCCAGCAAATGTGAAATCTTCGTAATACAGAATCCTGGGAAACTTAAGATTTCTCAGTAACATAAAAACTGGCTTTGATCAAAATGGCTCTATTTCAAGTTTATTTTATATAGGCAGCCTTTGTTCAAAACAAAGATACTCTTAAGCAGTGTTTTGTTGCTACTGAGAGTAAAAATTTTTGAATTCAAATAGTCACAGTAAAATGTTTAGAAAATTAGTTTGTTTGAGTTCTTTTTGAGAAAGCCAGACAACTGGAAAAATCCTTGGCTGGCCAACCTTTATTGGCATTATACGTGGTTACCACCCAAATAGTAAGTTTGTAATTGTGACATTAAAAAGGGTCTGTTTCTGATCAAAAATACAGAGATGACAGTGGTAGCTTGAGGAACTGCTCAAGACTTTTATTTAAAACTATCCATAGATATTTTTCAAAAATAAAAACTTGTTCTTAATGTACTGGAGTAAATTAAGTTGAGTACGTAGGAAGATAAAATGGGAACATGGGCTTTTGCACAGATTCCTCAAACTTCCCGTGCAATGTATCTTCCTAGAGGCCTCCTGAATACTGCATTGATGATCACAGCCGAAGAAGGTAGAAAAGTTTTGGTTATGATGACCAGTGGAGTTAATGGCAGAGGGTGGGATGAGAGTTCAATCTTAATTTGCCTGTCCCTGGTAGTGCCTGTTTATTTCAGGAAGGCCAGTTACATTGCAGGACACTGTCCTGTTGGTGCTTTTAGTAGCTTGAACTTTACTGTAATTGCCATGTCTTGAATTTTGTCAGTCATTCCGTTAATACTCCTTGGAGCCGGAGTAACCCAGTTGGAAATGAGCATCCTTCATCAGCTCGAAAATGAGTGGAGACCTAGTACTTTATCCACTCTAAGTCAGTAATTTCTGTCAAATACTTCAAAACACACTAGTGATTTCTGTGCCTCCCTTAATTTAAAAGGCTTCTTTTTCTTTCTTGCCTACCATCAAGCAGATTAATTAACATTTTGTTCTTGCTGATGGGATAAGTATCTTTTGAGAACATCTACTTATTTGTTGAATGCTTTGCCACTTCTTAAGTGACACTCTTCCTTTAGGGATTTTTGACTTTTCATCTGTAATATGCTTTACCTTCTTTAATGTATTTGTAGGTGATTAAAATTTAGATCCATCCTAAGAAATCTGTCATTATGATTGTTTTTTTTTTAAATGATCACTACCAAATTCTTTTCTCTTTCGTTAACTCTTACATAGGGCAAGCAGACAGTACAATAGTGTCTAACCGTGGAAAAATATCAGTGTGGAACCATTCAAGTTTTCTAAACAGCTCCTATGTTAATGAAGTAGTATTTTTTGATTAAAAACTTGAGAGACAGATTCTCCTAATTAAGGCTTTGTAAAACACACTAAATTGGTGCAAACACATCTGCCAGTGGCAGGGCAGTATAAGCAATCAAGCGTGTTCTGCAGTTGTCCTATTGTATTTTTTCCGTATGTATCTACACTTGACATTGTTGGAGACGGGACACTGGCCTAAGTGAGCTTGTAGTGTGCCCTTTTTCTTTCACCTTTATTATATCACATATAAGCTTCTCTATGCATTAAAAATAAATCAGTAATTTTGGAAGCTTCAGAAGTCAATTGTAAACCTTAGTTCTTCAGGTTGGTATGTAGTACTGGTCTTTTTAAAGTGTCAAAATTGCACTGAGATTAAATCTTTCTCCTTGCTCTTTAAATAAAGTGGCTCATGCACGTTTGCACAGTAATTCTGTACAGTTTATGGGGATCATGGGAAAGGAGAGGTGCAGTTATAGATGGTTCTGTTAGGAATAGTAGCAGAACATAAATATTTGAGGGATTACTCAGTGGTGGGCAATGAATGTTTTGTCCTTGTGAAATGCCAGTCCCTAATTAGCAGCAGGAGACAAGGCCTTAACTACAGGGTGGATTTTCAGCAGTAGCTGCCAAGATGTAAGACAGGCTGTGAAAGCAGATCAAGCTGTTAAACACATTTCCAAGACAATAAGAATTTCAAGTGATAAGAAAATGTACGTTCCTTTGGAATACCTTTGTAGGAAAATAGTGCTGAAATAAACGTTAGGCTAAAACACGTCAGCTCACCCGCGTAATGGCCTGTAGTCAGATCAGAGAGAAACAATGCGTATTTTAAAATTATAATAAAATAATAGTAAATTATTATTTATTATTATCTTTTGAACTGGTGAAGGTTAAAACAAAAGCTGTCTTGGCAGGCTTTTTCAGCTGAACAGTAGGAGAAGAAAAGATGACTCTGAAGGTCACCAAGATCAAGAGGACATTCATTCCCCTCCTTTCTAAATGAATGTTTTCTTTCGCTGAAGAGTCTGGTGGTATTCTGCTTCCCCAAAAAAGTGATACTTCAAAAGGCAGGAAAGTTGTGACCTCCTTTGATTAAGTCATTGTTTGTGTTTAAGCAGTGATTTAATGGATTGGGCTTGATTTGCAAAAGGTGACAGGAAAGACAAAGAGGAGTTCAAAGTTCCCTGTGTGGTAGCACACTTGTTCCTCAGTTGTGGCTCCACCAGCATCATCTAGCAGTCTAGCAGTCATCAGGCATGCACTTTGGCAGAGTACACTGGTGGTATCACAGTTTCCTTCCTCTAAATTAAAGCCCTTTTTAAAGGTATTTACTCCATTCCCACAGTTCTCTGTTGGGTTTATGTTTTGCAGACATAGTCCTGTCTTCTTTTTCTTTTTTCTTGTTTTGTTTTTTTTTTTTTTAATGCAGAATTTAGGTCAGACGCATTATCTATCAAAGCTTTTGGCATTCCATGAAACTGGATCCAAAATATATCAGATTTTCCCCAGGTGTGTCCCTCTGGTGAAGGCTTTGGCCATGAGCCTGATGTTACTATATAGTAATCCCAGGCAAATGACAGCTGCATGAGCACAAATCAACTGCACAGTGTGTGAGCTGTTTCTCTGACATTCGTGGATCCAGTGCTCTGTTTGTGCATGGTAAAGCCAATGCTGTCTGGGCAGGTCTCCTGTGCTGAGAGAGCTCTAGTGACACTTGCAAACATCTCTGGGATTTCCTGGCATGCAGAGAGCCCTGTGCAAGTCTACAAATGTCCTGCCTGAATGCCAAAAGCTGGAAGTGGAGCCCCTGAGAGCACAATCAGAGCAATAGCAGAGGCCCTGAGAATATGGGCACATGAGGACACCAGGATAAAAGCACAAGTCATGAATAGGCAGTTACTGGTCACTAAA